ATTAGCTTAATAGTTATTTAATAGTTATTTTATAATTATTTAAAAAATAACTAATAATAATTTAATATTTATTTAAAAAATATATAATTTTTTATTAGTAAATATTTTATTTAAAAAAATTAAATAAGAATTTTTATTCATATTATTTATGCCTATTTTATATATATTTTATTACCAATTATAATTATTGTATTTTCATAAAATATAATTTTTATCGAAATAGTATAATTTATAAAAATTTAGTTAAAAATAAAAACTTTATATTTTAAATTTTAACATTAATAGTAATAATTATAATAATATAAAAAAGACTTATTTTTTTTAAATATAAATTAGCGTTATTTAAAAATCTTTTATTTTATAATTTATAATTAATATTTAAAATATATTTATTATTTCTTTTAAAACTAATTTAATATTAATATTATTATTATAAAATAAAATCTAAAATTTAAAATATTTAATAAATTATAAATAAATAATAGAATAATTTTATTTTCGATTTTAACTAAACTATATTATTTATAAATTACAAAATTAAAATAGCTACTATATTTTATATTTTTTAAAATTATAAATTTAACCATTTAAATTATATTTAATTATATTATTATAATAACGATATAGTAAAAAAAATAAAAAAAATTTATAGAAATAAAAATTAAATAGTTATTTTATTAATATAAATAATATACTATAAATATATTTTATTTTTATATAAAAACTATTTTTTTGCTATTATTTTTCTATTTTTATTAAAATTAATATAATTTATTTATTTTTCTTTTATATTATAATTTATTTTAAGTTATATAAATTTTTAACTTAATTATTTATTACTAATCTTTTTTATTTAATTATTATAAAAATATTAATAACTAGTTTTATATTATAGCCGCTTTTTAATATTTAATATTTTACTATTTTTATTATTTTTATATAAATTTAAAAATAGCTATATATATTTGTAAAGTTTAAAAACGTTTATATATATTAATTTTAATTTTTTAGTATATAAAAAAATAAGTTTTTTTTATATCGTTACGGTTATAAAATAATATAATTTTTTTACTAAAATTAAATAATTATAATAAAAATTTACAAAAAATAAAAAAATTTATATATATAGAAATAAAATAATTATTTTATTAATATATATTAAATATTATAAATATATTTTATTTTTATATAAAGATTATTCTTTCATTATTATTTTTTTATTTTTATTAAAATAGATATAGTTTATCTATTCTTATTTTATACTATAGCCTATTTTAAGCTATATAAATCTATTTTTCTACTATTTATAAATACTATATTTTTTTTTACTATTTGCAAATATATACTTTTCGAACTCGTAAAAAACGATAATTAAGGTTAAAAAATAATTAATCGTAGATATATTAATAGCTAAGTTTATTTTTGTCGTTTTTTTTTTTTTTTACCTTTAAATTTTTTATCTAGCTTATTTATTGCTATTTTAGTCGTTTTTTAATTTTTAAGTTTTTTATTAATTATACAATTTATTTATTATATAATTTGCTAATTTTATTAAAACTAGAAATTTAAAAAAAGCTTTACTAAAATATAAAATAATTTATGCTAGTTTTTTTTTAATTAATTTTATTTTAAAATTTATAAAATATAAAACGTTTTAGTAAATGAAGAATTTTAATTTAATATATTGCTAATATTAAGCAAAATTTATATAAAGTAAAAATAGCTATTTTATTTTATATTTTTCAAAGTTATAAAATTAACTATTTAAAGTATATTTGATTATATTATTATAGTAATAATATAATAAAAAAAATAAAAAAAAATTTTATAAAAAAAGAAATTAAATAATTATTTTGTTAATATAAATAATATATTATAAATATATTTTATTTTTATATAAAAACTATTTTTTTGCTATTACATTTTTATTTTTATCAAAATTAATATAGTTTATCTGTTTTAATTTTATATTATATTTTTATATAAACTTTTAATTTAATTATTTATTATTGACTTCCGTTTTTTAATTAGCGTGTAAAGGCTTATTTTAAAATAGTAATTTTATATTTTTTAATTTTAACGTTAATAGCAATAATTGTAATAATATAGAAGAAATTTATTTTATTATATATTAAAAAATTAAAATTAATATATATAAATATTTTTAAATATATTTAACTATTTATAAATTTATATAAAAGTAATAAAAATAGTAAAATATTAAATATTAGTAGTTATATATATTATATATAATAAAATAATAGTTAATATATATAAAAAAAAGTAATAAAACGTTAGTATATATTATAAATGCTGATTTTTAAAACGTCTATTTTTAAGTGATTTAATTAAAGCAATTAGATAGAAAAAATTAGCGATAAATAGTTATATTAATTATTTAAAAATTGTAAATATATTTAATATAGTTTAGTATTAATTTTAATAAAAATAGTTTTAAAAAAAAGTAGTAAATATTAATAAGCTTATATAATTTAAAGCAAATTATAATATAAAAAAAAGCAGATAAATTATATTTATTTTAATAAAAATAGAAAAGCAATAGTAAAAAAATAGTTTTTATATAAGAGTAAAATATATTTAAAATATTTAATATATATTAATAAAATAATTATTTTATTTCTATATATATAAATTTTTTTATTTTTTGCAGGTTTTTACTACGATTATTTAATTTTAATAAAAAAATTATATTATTTTATAACTATAATAATATAAAAAAAGTTTATTTTATTATATATTAAAAAATTAAAATTAGTATATATAAGCGTTTTTAAATTTTATAAGTATATATAATTATTTTTTAAATATTTTTAAATTTATATAAAAGTAGTAAAAGTAGTAAAATATGAAATATTGATAATTATATATATTATATTTAATAGAAAGATTTTAAATATTAACAAACTACTATAATATAAAGCTAGTTTTTATATTTTAAAAATAGTTAAATAAAAAAAACTAGTAATAAATAATTAAATTAAAGGTTTATATAATTTAAAAAAAAGTATAATATAAAATAAAAATAGATAAATTATATAAATTTCGATAAAAATAGAAAAGTAATAGTAAAAAAATAGTTTTTGTATAAAAGCAGAATATATTTATAATATTTTATATATATCGATAAAATAATTATTTAATTTCTATACCTATAAATTTTTTTATATTTTTAATTATATCGTTATTATAATAATATAATTAAGTATAATTTAAATAGTTAAATTTATAATTTCGAAAGATATAAAATATTATAATTATTTTAACTTTATAAAAAATTTGGATTTTTTTTATATTTTAGTTAAACAATATATTAAATTAAGATTTTTTATTTACTAAAATATTTTATATTTTATAAATTTTAAAATAGTATTAATTAAAAAAAAAACTAATATAAATTGTTTTATATTTTAGTGAAGTTTTTTTTAAATTTTTAGCTTTAATAGAATTAATAAATTATATAATTAATAAAAAGTTTAAAAATTTAAAAATAACAAAAATAGCAATATATAAGCTAAATAAAAAATTTAAAGTTTTTTAATTTATAAATTATAGTATAAAAAAAAAGATAAAATTTTAATATATTTTATAAATATTTATTTCTAAAACGTTTATTTTTAAATAGTTTAACTAAAATAGTTAAATAAAATAAATTAGCAATAAATAATTATATTAAAAATTTATATAATTTAAAACAAATTATAATATAAAAAAAAATTAATAAAATATATAAATTTTAATAAAAATAAAAAAATAATAGTAAAAAAATAGTTTTTATATAAATATAAAATATATTTATAATATATTAAATATATTAATAAAATAATTATTTAATTTTTATATATATAAATTTTTTTATTTTTTTATTATATTATTATTATAATAGTATAGTAAAATATAATTTAAATAATTAAATTTATAATTTAAAAAAATACTAAATATAATAGTTAAATATATTTTTCAAAATTATAAAAAATAATAATTAAATTTAAAAATATTAATAGCTAGTTTTATACTATAATAACTTTCGAAATAGTTTAAAATTACGTTTAAAAACTTGCGTTTAAATTTTTTTAAATATAAATTAACGCTATTTAAAAACTTTTTATATTATTATTATATTATTTATATACGTTCTTTTTAATAATATATTTATAAATATTAAACTTAATTTTTTAATATATAATAAAATAAGCTTTTTTTATATTTTTACAGTTATAAAATAATACGGTTTTTTTTTTTGCGGTAATTTTTAATAAAATCTATATTTTATATTTTTTATAATTATAGCTTTTATTTTTTTATATTTTGCTAGCTATTTAATATATTGTTTAAAAAGTTTAAATTAGTTATATATTTAGTAAAAAAAATAAAACCTAAATAAATTTATAATTTGCAATTATTTTAATTTATATTTTATAATTATTTTAAATAATTTTAAATATTATAATAGATTAAAATCTATAATTATTTAAATAGCTTTCAAAATTAATTTAAAAAAAATTAAAAAAATAAAAAGGGATAATTCTTTAAAATAGCTTTTTTTTAATTTAAACTATTAGTCGAAACGTTTTTTTTAATAAAAGACTTTGCTTAATAAATTAAAGCTACTTAATGTTTTTTAGTTTATTTAATATTTTTTAATATATATATATAATAAAATATATAAAAATTTAATAGGTAAAAATTAATTAAAACGATAAATAATAATAATTAACAAAGTTTTAACAAGTTAACAAGTTATATAAAAATGTATATTTACTAAATAAAAAAATATACACTTATTAAAACTTATTATTTAAATAACATATAATTATTTTAAATATAAATATAACATTAAATTATAAAATTCAATTATTTTTAATTTAACATAATATTAGAAAAAAAAGGGGGGGAGCAGGGATAGATGGGAATATTAAAAGGAAAGGATAAAAAAGCACCGAACCGGATTTGAACCGGTGACCTATCGGACTGCAGCCGATTGCTCTACCCCTGAGCTATCGGTGCTTGTTACTGTGATTATCCATTGTAGCGCACTTTATATACTACTCGCTTTAATAGGTGGGTGAAGATGACTCTGTGGGGTTTTCAGTGGGGCAATTCGTCATCCAGGCGCCAATGCCTAAACACGGTGCCGCACTCCGGAGATAACACATATCCTCCCAGCCGAGCAGCAAGGTAGTTCACGGCTGATACAGCTACTTACTACACCTAAAATCAGCTTCTAGTTCTTCAGCTTAATCAATCAGTTCTGTTACTAAAATAACAGTATTTAGGCATATATATATCTCAAAAAAGGATTGTTCATATCAATACGCAATCGCACTATTTATAATCTACTCTTCTGAAATAAGTGATCCTTAACATATCCACCTCGGCTCCGCGATCTTTGCCACTCTGGCCGGAAACGGAGGCAATGGAAATTCCGGCTCTTGCCAACGCACCACTTCTAGCAGTCTGGAGAGCCCAGTCTTTGAGGAGTGTGGCTGTAGTTCATCTGCGTTCTTCAGCTCCGGGTCGGCCTCAATAAGCATGTCATAGATTTCGCCCAGCCCTCTCATGTATGGGTGAAGATCGAATCTAGTGGCTGGAGTCTTAGTGGTTAGCTCATCGCTAAGTGTTCTCTCTTCCCATCCCCCATCGACCTGGTGCTTGTATAACCACTCTCGGTACCCATCATGCGCGCGTGACAAAGTATATTGTGCGAACACAATAAGCCAAATCATGGGATGCCAATCGCCTAACAGGTTTCCAACACGTTGTTCTCTGCCTGCTTCCGCTCCATGCCCAACCAGAATTCGGATAATGTTTGCTAAGCGATCGCAGCTTGCCCGGATGTCCATCCATTGTTGAAGATTGTGATTCCATTCCCAGCGTCGTTTTCTTTGCTCCGCTTCTTCATAACGACACTGGCAACGACCATAAGGCCTACCACAACAGTATGAGTATTGCATTTCTAGTTCGTACCTTCCATCGACCCTGTCGAAGTGTCTGTCCCGGTTCAAATCTCTAAAAGCAGTGTCATGACATGCAGTAGCAAGGGCACGAGTTACGACCGGCATCATTTGCGATGTATGAGATTGACGAGTCTTCAATCCACGGTGTCCCGCGATGGACCATGCTCCTCCCGGGTTTGCCCCTAGGCGCAGTAAAACCCTCAATGCGGTAGCATTGTAATTGGAAGCCGCGATATCAACCAGAGACAAATCAACAGGATCGCACTCATCGGGGCACTCGTCTTTCTTCCTGGACAAACCGACCGGACATAATTCCATCGATATCACGCGATTGACATCCAGCTTTCCTTCTCGGATGAAAGCTTCGACCAGCGATGGCGAGCTGTCGAAGTACTGACATTTAACAACAACGGCGTCCCAAAAGCGTTTGCTGATGAACTCTTCACTGCATGCAGATTTGTGCGCCTTCATTAGAGAATACGCTAATCGGAGTGTCTGAGCACTTTGAATCGCGACGAGCTTCACATAGGCGGTACATCTCCTAATGTACAGTGAACGCCTCTTTTCTTCCTCGTTGTCTTCCTCGTCACTCGTATAGTAGCCGCGCTCTGCATCCTCTTCATCAATATCAAGTCCCCTACGGCCATCCGTGTCATGGCTATCCGTGTGCCGTTCCCGCTCCCCCAAATATATCTCCCCGTCATCGTCGTCGTCACTGTCCGGCTCCGGCCGATCTTCACCATCCATTCGATCTTTAGCAAGCCGTTTGCAGTGTTTCCGGAACTTAGCAAGTCGTACTTGGAAGCCACCTGGGCTATCCCAGTGATAGACTCGGGCAAATCTGAAGGGCTTGTTTGCCCGCTTAGGATCGAAAGACATTTGTAAAAGTTGCTTCCCGTTCTCGTGCCTGTTGTATTCGGAGAAAAAGTCCGCGAGATGGAAATGGTTCATGCGCATGCTAGCTATCTTAGGGTTATCGCTTAAAAGCTCTCGTCGAACTCCCTCGGGACTCTTTTCGCGAAGGTAGACGAGGCATTCAAGACTACCTGCGAACAGACACTGGTACACGAGCCCGTACATCCTTCGTCTCCAAAGATTTGGCTGTCTCTGCTCCTGGTTCCAGAAGTCCATGACTTCGAGACACTTTTCGAATAAGTCTACATCCGAATAATGTATCGCGTGGGATAGGGCGCAAGTCCCGTCGTTCGCTTCGAAGTCTAGAACATCGCCCTCAACAAGAGAGCGGGATCGGCCCAAGTTACTTCGGACTAAGTCTGAATAGAGATTGTTGAAAGTGTGCGTGCTGGCGAGAGCGACGTTCAAACGGGACTTGTCTCGGAGATGACGAGCTACAGTCAAGAGCATGTCATCGCTAAGACGCTTTCTACTAGTGCCAGCCATGTTGTGAATAGAGCTGTAGTATGTCCCTGTTTGATAGTATTCTCCAGTGAAACCCTTGATTTAATTTTTTCTACACCAATTATCCTCCAATTCTACGACTCTCCGAAAACTTAGGGTTGAGACAAGCTCTTAAATATATTTGTCGCCCTCAAGTGCATCAGCACGTATACTTCATGATCCACTGACTTTTGAAGTTCTTCTCTTGTCTCCCTCTCCAAGTCATTGTGTCCAATACCATGTAACTTAGACATTGTTTAAATTTGGGGACAATGCGCACTCATTGAACTTAGTTGTTATTTTTTGTTTGTCGGGGGCTCTCCTTTTGAACCGTCTTAAAGGGTCTGTCATTTGTCAGATAGCCCACGATATAGCGCTAGACGAGCCAGATAGACTTTAACAATAGCTCGGGATCTTTCCGCCCAGAGCTAAGCGGAGGTTTGTTAAGGTGTACCCTTTATATGAGGTATGCCGGACGGTGGCCTGGCAGGGAGCGTGGCATGATTCGGGCATGGAGCTGGCGGTAGGTTAGGGGATATGTCCGACATGATGTGTGTTAAGCAAGGCAGTCAACTCGAAGAGGGTAAGTTTCCTTATCCCTTTGTCGAAAATGGCTAACCCGTTTCAAAGGACGAGTAGCGACATGTGACCTCTTCGTACGTCTTTGTACACTCATTTGTAAGGGAGAATGATTTGGTATTTAGACTGTCTGTTTGCAAAGTCTCTTTTATACCACTATTGGATGAGTAACCTTAACTTGTCCAGTGAATCAAATCCGAAGTGTCATCTTACCACTGCAGAGGGGGGAGACGGTCATCTAGTCATTTGCGAACTGTTAGTTTACAGCTTCTGAAGAAGGGCAGTTAAACTCCCGAATACAAGGCTTCCAACTTCACTGTATTATGGAACAAGTTTCGGCTGATATCAGTGTCTCCGTTATCCGCGAGCTCATATAAAGTGAAGGATCACTTTGAAAACTGCAAATTGACATATTGTCCTTAGTTTCAAATAGAACGACGGCGTATTAAGATTTCCTTCTGAACGTCGATCTCTGATGGAGCATCTAGCATGACGTTATCCCAAGAATGAGCATTCTCAGACAGCCACATTGATCCACGTTGGATTCATACAAGAAGTCTTAGACCCATGCCATCGTTTCCGCGAACGTAATTATCTCATTGCTTAATGATACTATGCGTCCTAGTATAATGGTCGGAATGTGTAATCATAAATTGCGTGTTGAAGTCGCAACCAAACTCAAAATACCTCACTCAGTAGACAATGAAAGCAGTAGGACTGTGCATTTGTGAACATGTAATAGTCATCTATAAAATGCTCATTATTATCTCATTATCCACCTGTCCGTTCTCCTTATGGATCCATATCTGGATTAATAGGGGACGCATAATACACCAACCTATAAATACCCACCCGCCCACAATCGTGCAGCCCTGGAACCAAACTTCTGCAACACTATAACACGGCATTGTATGCTCCATACTCAACGATACCGCGTGCGAAGTACAGAGTTTACGTAAGAAATCCTGAAGAGGCTTGCTCCGAACTCAAGAGCAGATAGATCTGGCAACAATTGTGGAGCCCTTTCTTTAGGCTTTACGTACCCCTGAGGCTCAGCGGTTTGACAACTTCTGGAATCTCGTTTCAGTTTCTTCCTCCGCCGTCGGGGTGTAGATACCTGGGGCTTACAGAAAACCCCATAGGCTTGGGCGCGTCCCTCGGTAGCAGGCGAATCAGTGATGAATTGATGTGATCCCAGATATCTTGATACAGTTCTCAATTTTCGAAAACTGGAGAGATGATGTAATGCGTCGTTCTATGTTGGCACCCGTGGTCGTTGAAGCTAATTTACGGTTAGGAGGTCAGCTTAGAACGGCGAAAACGGGTAGCGGAGGAACGCCATATTACTAGGTATTTACGGAGTAGGGCAGAGTTCATACAATTGGGGCAATACTTACATAGGCAAGCTGTGTGAAAAAAAAAAATGGGACTCTTTTTTGTCTGGCGGCGTAGAAAAGTGTCACATTTTTTTTTCTCGCACAGTTTGACAGGGCCCAGCTTACTCATCATCTCAGCCCGTCCGGAGGAAGAGGATCTGGCATGTCCCCAACTGAGAAAGAAGAGTATCCTTTTGTGATGATTCCTGTGGGGAAAAGCCGCTTACGGAGTACTTCTCACGTGGCCACCCAGACATTCCTATCACCTTGAAAGAAAGTAATTTGGACTAGCCTTTTGGTAGGGTTTGGAGAGAAAAAGATGACCGTCAATGTCTGGGAATAGGACATGTCGGGGAATTTTGGAGCAAAACCCGGGAGGCCCCTGAATTCTCAGTAAGGCATGCAAGGGAATCAAGATTCGCGTGGTACCCCCAAAAGGTGTAAGTGGAGCCTTGTCGTGTCAATCCCCTTTTCTCCCGCCTACGCTGGAAAACGGTTTCCCTCTTCATTGGATGAACGGCTTGATCTGCGGATGGGAATGCTGGAAAATCTATAGTGCGAATATAGAAAAGGGGAAAACATCGTGCCTGTGCGGCAATTTTTCTTGGACAATCGGCAATGGAGTAGCACACTTTTGAGGAATGTATCCTGTGATGGTAGCATTGACCTAACCTTTTCCAAATTTGAAAAACGCTTG